TTTTTGAAAATCTTATGAAGGTGATAACTCTTGAATGAGGTGATGTTGGATTTTCAAATTGGTACCATAGGTGTGCCGACTAGAAAGCTGAGGGGTAACAAAGGCAGTCGCAAGTACTTTTAAGACCAGTAAGCATCGATGCTGTGTGTACTGGATGGGAAAGAGCACATGAGCTTATTATTCAGGGACGTTCCCATAATGAATCAACTAAAACAGCCTGATACGACACTGATGCATTTTAATTAAACTTAAGTGTTAATCCATTAAAAATAGATGTGGAGGCCACCATGTTGCCCGCCATCTTGAATACAGTGGCCAAGGTGGACATCGCTGTTCCGCCTAATTGCACTTTATCTATGTGACTAGAGACCGGCCACATGTGTAATAGGCCTTATAACTTACCGTTAATGTAAAGATCAGAAATAGCTTTTTCAAATTCTATTAGTTAGCATTTTTACATGTATAATTTAATGATCTCTTTCTCATTATGCCTCCCCCTGCACTATTTCCTCACCTCAGGCTTCGTCTCCTAAACTGAAGTCAGGGCTTTAACACACAAAAACATACACAAACATGCTTATTAACTTCTGATATTGATATATAGTAGATTTGAGGGCAAACAAATTCAGTGCTAACTCAGTGATATGTTGATAATAGGAGGAACTTAGAGGAGGCATCTGCATCTTCGTGAGCCTTCACCAGAGTGGCAGGGCTGTGGCAGGATGTGGGCGGCGACCTCACACACAGAAGTCCTGTTGTTCCATAAATATTTAAGACTCAACATTGGTTAACAGATTTTTATGTGTTTTCCTGATATTCCGGCCCATTTGTTAAACACAAATGTATTTCAGTATTGTGTAAAATAGATCACATTTTAAATAAATAAAAACTTGTTACATATCTTTTTAATCACAGTCCTGCTGGTTTTCCTTTGGTGGAAGAGCAGATGTTTTATAAGCAGAGAGCAGAAATCAGACAAACAGCACTATGAAAAGGATTTCTGAGAGAAGAAGTTCCAGGTATTTTGGATAGAAAACCTTTTCTCTGTGTGCATCCTTGCCAGTTCCCTCCTTTGAAATGTGAAACAAACCAAACTCCAAACCCGAAGTCCTTCCTGTTTTCCTAGAAAACTTCAGAGTCACAGGCTTTCCTTTCTCTTTCTGTTTTGAGTACTTTTTAGTGTAAACGTTTAGCTGCATTTTGGTAGTCAAGGGAAGATTAGATATACTAAAATATATAAGCATATATATCAATGTGAAATATTTTAAATTCATTACATTAAGAGGAGAAATACCAGACATTTAAAGGTTTACGATGCCGTGTTGCACTTTCCATTTGTGTTAATAGAATATAAGAAAATTTGAACTTTGCAGTTAAATTTGTTGAATTTGATCTGGTTTCTGTCCAATTGCTAATTCAGGCACTTCACATCCAGCGAGCCGGTGATGACCAGGTTATGGTTAACCAAAGATTCAGATGGAAATTTCCCTTCTTTGGCAAATGTAATTCTTGTAACTGAAGAAGTGCAGAGAGGTGGTTTCAAAGGTAACACCGACTAGTATGTGACCCGTCGTGTGTGCAACCTTACCCTAACCAGGTCACTGAAGACCTGCTGCATGTTGGGAGGTATAACGAGTACGGTGGCGCGATGCTAGAGTTTCAAGCTCGATACTATGAGGGAAAAAGAAGCTTCCTTTAACTGCTTCCTTATTCACAAGAGGTGGATAGTGGATGGAGACAGATCAGCATATCATTAATATCAATTACTATATGAGTAACAGTAATATAGTAGTAATAACACTAAATTAATACAATAACAGAAAAAGGTTTACACACATGAGTCTACAGTCTAATTTAGGATTTAAAAAGAAGCTGACACACCTGACATCAATGTTTTTTGGGGGGTGAAAGCACGCACATTGAGGTTTCTGGTGTGTCTTTCCACGATGCCAGCAATTAAGCAGTAATTGCAGGGGAATGGGTTTAAAATTCCTCAGTATTTTAATGAAAATGCTGACATTTGTTAAATACCACAAAAGAAAGCGATGTGGTGCATCGCCCACTAATCTGCAAATTTATTTAAGATGTTCAAAGTGTCGCTTTCATTTTTTTTTCAGTGCTTTCACTTCATTTTCTCTGAGCAGCTCAGCTTTACTTCCACAAACATATCGATAAACGGCTTCGGCATTAGAGGGACCGTCTCCACGGCTATTTCTTCTTTTCCGGAAATGCAGCTTAATTTTTTTGTTTTGTTCTTAATTTAATTTAAATTTATATTTAGATACGATTTCATGCTTTCGGATCCTTCTTCAAAAGCGAATCGCCTGCTTGCCTGTGCATGTGTGTGTCTGTGCATGTGTGTATGTGTGTGTGGTGACGTGTACATTTATTGGGTGACCACCCGGCTTGTCCAGAGTACGCTTGTCTCTACGGTGATAACTCTTACCTGTTGTTATGCCTCCTCAACTCTTCTTGTTAACATGCGTGTGTGTGTGTG